TTTTTATCAAATATCTTATTTGTAATGATTTCAAAATATATAAATTTACTAAATACTTATCATTAACAAAATCACTAATTAACCGTCACTCACAAAATCATTATACCAAGCGGGTCCTTTGTAAGAGCACTTGAAAACACTTTGAAAATGAAAATTTAGAATTGATTTGATTGATTAGGCTTGCATAAAAATCCAATCAAGTATAATCTCGTGATTGGGCTAATAATAAGGAAATTATACTGAGTATATAGAATAATTTTGTAAGTACTTCTGTTCCTATAACGTTTCAAATAGGGCAGTAGTACCATATTGCTTGTTTCTTTTCTTTTCCAAGGTGATGGTACTTCCCTTCCCCCTGTACTTACGTCCAGGTGCCTAAAGCCTTTGGCGATAAATACAATTGAGCTCGTGATTAGTTTTCTGGAGATTCAAAAAAAATCTGAGCTCTTTAACTGCTCAAGCCTATAAGATGAGATACGGAAAAGATGGGATCATTCTAATTAATAATTTTAACTAAAGCATTCTCCTATTGTGATTCATTGATAATTACTGTAATTTAAAAGGATTGTCGGTGAATTGCATCTCGATCAATGATTGAACTTTATCAAAAAATAAAATACTAACTCATAACTTTTAATTATTGATCATTGTACCTGTTAAAAAAAAAAAATTTTAATTAGAACCCCGAGAAACACATACTATTCACTTGTATCCTGAGCCCGACCCTCCTAGTACCTGGCTGTGGTTGGTTCCGCCCTTTTAACCTGCACCAACATATTAATCAAGATGTACTGTAGTAATTTAGTTTTAACAGTTATTTTAGTTTAATGATGATTTTTTTTAAAAAAAAAGAAGATATTTTGAGTTGAATTGTATAATACGGGTGGAATGAGTTGATGGATAAAAGATAAAAAAAATTATATTTTATTGTATAATTTAAAATTAACAAAAAAAAAATAGCTAATACCAAATTTTAAGGGTTGAATTTATTGGCAAGGAGAAAAGGTACATATAAGAATATAAATTTTGTTGTTTTTTTTATTTAAGAATATGTAACTTTATCAATTTTTAAATAAAATGATAAATTTTTAATTTTTTTATTTAAAAATGTCAATTTTACATTTTTTTCTTATTTAAAGATTAATTTGATAGTAAAACAAAGTTATTTGTCATGTCAACATCAGTATTTAATTAGTCTTTAAATAGAAAAAATGCACAGTTGGTATTCTTAAATTATATTAGAAAAGAGTTAAAAATTTACTATTTTATTTAGAAACTAACAAAATTCACATTTTTAAATTAAAAAATGGCAAAATTTGTATTTTTATCTACATATTTTCCCCAGTAAGTAAGTGTCAGAATTCAAATTCTAAAGCTAATAGCCAATGAAATTAATTTCTTTTAAATGCATTAGATTGATGTGGGAGGTATGTCCTTAAAATCGTTTGAGAAATTAGTCTTAAAATGTGTAAAAGTTAACTAAAAAATACTCTAATCGTTGAATAAAAATAACCCTACCTATTAATAAAACTCAACTCTTTTCCTCTCACCGCCGTTGCTAGCGTTTTCCCTTTCCAATGGGCGAGCACTTCACCTAAGTGTTTCTCCCCATTTTAAGGGCCCCCTTTTCTCTATTTCTTCCTTTTGTCTCAATTCCCTATTCCCTTCATGGTTCCAAATTGCATATTGGCTTGGAATTGTTGAGGCCTCGGGGAGGACTCTGCAATTTCATATTTAAAGAAGCTTTGTTTCCTACACAAGCCTAGTGTCATCTTCCTCTCTAAAACAAAACGATCCACTACTGAGATGAATCTGATTTGCATAGATCTAGGGTTTGAACACTTTTGCTATTGATTGGGTTGGTAAGGGGTGGATTGGCTCTGCTTTGGATAGATGATTTTTAGTTGCAACAATCCTCTATTTCACAACCCCCTATAACTATTGAAATTATTGATCCGAGTGGTCGTCATTGGAGGTTAATTGGGTTTTCTAGCAAAAAAACAAAAGGAAAGGGTTGCTATTGGTGAAGCCAGTTGTGTTCTACAATGGAAGAATGATATTCAAGTTGGTAAAAGGGCTCTTGTTTCCTTAATGAATTTTGACAGCAAGGGATTGAAGAGGATTGGAAAAGATGGGACCATGGTTGGGAGCACATGGAGATGAGTGGGGTGCCTTGTGCTCGTATGGAAGGGGACCATGCCCTTCTGTTGATTATTCTTTAAGAATAGATAGGGTGGCAACTTGTGGGTTGGGGATTGTTTGTTGTTGGAATTCCTTGCTCTCCTCATGAAGTTGGTTAAATAGGTGAGAATGTCTAGTAGGTTTTGATGCTCATAGTGACTCTCTTTTTTACATTAGTAGCTCTATATAACCCATACAGCGATTATAATTGCAATCTCTAGTTGTAAATTACTCTCTTTACTTAATTGTCTATATCCATCATGGCATAGTTTAAATCTATTACTAGTACTGTAGATTGTGCTTCTGATTTTTGTTTTTAAAATATGCTGCTTTAGGCTATGTTGTCATGAGATAGAGAATTATATTGTAATTTCTTATTATTTGATACATTTCTCTATTTCCTATATAAAAAAAAAAAAAAACACTCTAATCGTTCAAACCTTAAAAAAAAAAACAAAAACTCCAATACCAAAAATTTGTTTTTATGCAATAAATAGATAAACTAATACTTTAAAAGACATGTCTAAAGATTAATAGTGGCATCGATCTTTTTAGACACTTTTAAAGATCGATCTTTTTAGACACTTTTAAAGACATACCTTCATATTAATTTGATATATTCAATAAAGTAAAATTTTTTTAAATACTAGAACCAAAACTTAAAGTCTTGGCGTGATCTATAAAACTTCATAGTTTATATTCTCAAATGACAATGGAATGGAGAAACGGGCAGCTCTACACACACCAAAAAAAAAAAAAAAAGCGGTTTTTAAATGAGTGGAGATTCAAGTCCATCTCTTTTTTATAGAAGAAAAATTTTTAGAGGAAGAACATTTTTTTTGGAAAATAAGGGAAATCATATGTGCAAGATTAACAGCAATACATGAACATTAATGTGAGAATTCCACTCCACCTTAATCAAGCATAAGGTGGAACTTATATGAGTAAAATAAAAAGGGTTTTTTTAACATGTGCCCTAAGGGCACAAGTTAAAAATATCTTTGTGCATTAAATGTACATAAAAAAAATGTAAAAGTTGATATTAATTTTAGTGTACCCTTAAGAAGAACATTAATGTAAAAAAAAAAGGGACAGTTCTACACACACAGAAAAAAAAAAGTGCTTTTTAAATGAGTGGAAATTCAAGTCCATCCCTTTTTTATAAAAGAAAAACTTTAGAGGAAGAACATTTTTTTGGAAAATAAGGGAAATCATATGTGCAAGATTAACATCAATATATGAACATTAATGTGAGAATTCCACTCCACCTTAATCAAGCATAAGGTGGAACTTATATGAGTAAAATAAAAATACCGTGTGTGACACTAGGAATCAAAGATTTTGAGATGCGAAATTTCGTCATGCTGTAATTCATATCATATGGGCCTCAATGTCAAAGAGTGAGACTAGTCCATTGAGCCTAATGGGCCTCTAAATTTGTGCATTTGCTCCACTATTCCCGAATGGAGAAGGCCGGGGTCAGACCAACGTTCAACTTCAACCCGACGTGCTCCTCTCGGCGTCAGAGGGAGGGAGGAAAGGGAGACTGAGGAAACACAGGTGATTAGGGAAGGAACTTTGCAGCAGAATTTTACTTGCTGAATATGTTGTGGCTGCATTTAAAAAGGCTTAGAACTAACTGATATTGATTGTTTCTCTGTTGCGCTTTGGAGATAAGAAGCCGAGATGGAAATCGATCGGCTCAGTGGGACTCTTGTTGTACCCGAAAAAATGTAAACCTTTGCATTTATGTCTCTGTAAAAGTTAAGACAAACTAGAATGACGGATATAACTTCTACTTCTTCTTCTTTTTTCGTTTTTTGATTTGCAAGACTCAGGAGCAGGATAGACAGTGGCATAGATGGCTCTTATCCTTGGATTTGCCTCACTGTTCGGTTTTTATAAAGAAGGTGGCTAGTATAAGTTGCATTTTTTTTTAAAAAAAATAGAGTTTCAATTTTAAGGATATCACTTTTTAATAAATATTTTTAAAAATTAATTATTATCATTTAGATAATGTATATCAAATTTCAAATTAATTAAATATATATAATTAGTTTATTAATTATAAAAAGTTTATTACTATTAAATATATGAATTAGAAAATATAAGTTTCTTAATAAAATAATCATAGATGTTAGATTAACTTAAATATTGAAATGTATAATTTATAATAATAAAACATTAAATGTAATAATTGGTTTTTAAAAACATTTATTAAAAAGGGATGTTTTTCAAGTTGATATTTTAATCTTTTATGAAAATCAGAGTTGATACACATTTGTCCCTTTTATATATATATATATATGTAAAGAAAAATATTATATAGTTGGTAAAACATGCAGATCACCCCCTTAACTTATTTATTGGTGGCAAATCATCGCCTCAACTTACTTTACGCGTAAACCAACCCCTTAACTAACCCCTATGTTAAGGCTGACGTCATTATTCCGTTAACATTTAACTGTCCATTCATAAACCCCACCTCTGCGTCTGACGTGGACTTTTTTTTGTTGAGATGGATGTTGAGATGGAGGGCCACCTGGACAAAAGATAATTTTTCAATTGAATCCAAAAAATTATTCTCTACCTTTGTTTTTCTTTCGAAAAAGTATCCAGCAAAAGCATCCAAATTCCTTCCCTTTCATCTCTTTCAAGAAACCATCTTCTTTAATCTCAAAAATTTTAATAATTTCCCCAGAACACCGCCAACTTTATGTTTTGGCCTCGCTTGACTCTCCGACGCCGGTGCCGCCGTTTTCTTACCCACATTCACCTGTTCGACGAAATTCCCCAGAGAAGCTCCAGTTCTTGAAAACATTACCACAAGCTCCGAGTACTGTTGTTTCATCAATTTCTTGAACTTTTCTAATACACAAGATGATGATTCGCACTGATGGTTGCAATACCCGATCTTTGCACTCCCATTTTTGTACGCTTTACACGCCAATAAAATAAAGCTCGATTGATCCCTAAAGTGCTTCATAACAAAGCCTTTGAAATATTTTGGAGGTCGCTTGATCAAAAGCATCATCGTCCGGCAAGACAGCAGGAAAGCATCCTCATTGTAAGCGGCGGATTTCTTCTCCTAAAAACGACCCGGCCAAGCGACATTGCTGGGCTCGTTGAAGCAAGACTTTTTGTTGAGAACTAGACCTTGGATCGAGAGCAAAAGCTGGAGAACTATTGACTCATTTGAATTCCATTTTTCAGTCTTTTTCTCGACCCAAGTGTTAATCAAACTCAAACAGACCTTCCAATTCGCGTACAGGTTTAGGTTGATCCGATACCCAAAAGATCGATAGTGAGCCATCGACGGTCGACTAGGATAATCGGGCGGGAATGCAATGTTGAAGAAGAAGAGCCCGTCATGGTAAGGCATACCCACGTTAAATGTTAAAGGAACGATGACATCAGCCTTAACAGAAGGGCTGATTTGTCACAGGTGAGTTTAGGGGTTAGTTTGTGCATGAAGAAGGTTGAGGGGTGATTTGCTACCAATCAAAGAGTTAAGGGGGTGATCTGCATGTTTTGCCTATATAGCTTAAACTGTATCATACTAGATAATTTGAACCATTAAATGAAGAACAAATCTCTTGATAATGCAGAATGTCCCTAATTTAATAGTTTCTTTTTTGATGTTTGATGTTATGTGCAATATGAACTATAAAATAAAGAACTCAACTATAATTTAGTATGGAGAATGCCATAATGCAATTCGTCCTGTGTGAACTGTGTTACTTTTAACCATTAATGAATGGGTAAGCCCTAACATCTAAGGATCACCCCTTCATTAATTGTTAGGTTAAATCTTTTAATTTAGTTCCTCAACCATTATAAAGGGTCTTAAATTGGTTCTGAACTAAAAAAATCCTTGACTTAGTTCTTAAAATTTTCAAATTTGACTCGAAGTTAGTTTTTCCATTCAAAAATAGTTAATGTGTTTGTTACTTGACAATAAAAAGTTGTTACTTGATGGTTACGTGTCACATTAGTGACAAGATATATCAGTTGTTTTATAATAAAGGAACCAACTTGAAACCAAATTTGGAAATTTTAGAGACTAAATCAAAGATGTTTTTAGTTTTTTTAAATATACATTTTTTATTTCAACTATTTATTTAATTAATAAATTTTAAAATTTTTATTCTTCTTTATTTTATTTTTTATTAAATTATTAAATAAAATAAAATATTATCCTTTCCTCTCCTTCACTTTTGTCTATCTAAACAAAACTAATATCAATATTTTCCTTTCCTTCACTTCTCCCCCCTTCCTTCCCCTTTCCTCCCTTTTTTTTTCCTTTACTAATTTTTATCCAAACATAGGCTAAGTAAATCATTCTCTCATAATTTTAAAAATGTTGGAGAAAAATTCAAAAAAATTAAGTTGAAATGAATTGGCATTTTCACAATATCATACATCTAATAAATGATAGAGTTGTTAAAGTTTTTCATCATCCTAGTTAGTATATTCTTTTATATGCTGAGTACTCAAAAGTATATTGTGTTCCTTT